AAACAAGAAGAAGCCACTGCAGCACTATGGACATAGGGCGAGTAACCCTGACATTTTTAAGTTTTGGAATTTAGAGAAAAAATTTTTAAAGGATTTAAAATTAGAACCGAAGATTTTATAAATGCTAATCAGGAAGACCTATGCTTTTAAATTTTTAATGTTATAAATAAGTGCAGTGTAACAGATCCGTGAGTGTATACACCTGATGATGGCCGTTTGGGGCCGAAACATGTAGTGTATGAAGAACAACAAGACAAAAGACCTATAAATATAGTTTGCACTTAGGATGGAGTTATATCATATATCATATATTGCAACAGGATGCCTAAATATAATATTGTAAACAAGAAACAACTGGCATTGCTAGGCAACAGCTTTGTAAATATGCAACAGTACTGGAACCGATGCTAGGCAATGCCATGTGCACAACAATGGAAGTACTGTTGGAGGCGGTGTTTTCTATGTGGTCTGCTCTGTGGCCATATCACATGACTCACCGACTTCAGTAGTTACTGGGTACTGGGTTCCCTTTTTGTCACCTTACATGACTCGCAGGGCTACGGTATCACAGGTATAATAGGACCACCCTGTTGCTGGAGGATATCACTATGGGGACCTGGCCCTCCAGGTTGGGGGAGTCTTGAATCTGGGACAGTAAAGTGTGGTCATATCTACTGCAGGACTTGGACCTGAGAATGACTGTGCTGGTGGGGGCCAACAGCACTTGTAAATGACAGACCCATCCTCTCGTCAGAGAGAATGTTATGTAAGGACTATGAATGCAAGTGTTCAGTTGAAAAAAAAACACTGGTCCTGATTCTCAAGGGGCTTGTAGCCAAGACAAACTGATTGGTGGTAAACTGCCAGTCATAAAGTAACTCTGACTCTGATGCTGACTCAGAATCCTGTGTGGAGGCAGGGTTAACTACCTCCACTGTAGCCCTCCGAGTAGTAGGAGGCAACAAAAAGGGAACCCAGTGCCTGGGGTTATAATTGGATGACCCTGTTCTTGGGGGATATAAATACAGGGACTTGGCCCTCCAGGTTAGAGGAGTCTCAAGTCTGAGACAGTAAAATATGGTCATGAGTCCTGATGGACTTGGACCCAAGAATGACTGCGCTGGCGAGGACCAGCAGCAATTGTAAACAACAAACCCATCCTTTTTGTCAGAGAGGATGTTACGTAAAGACTATGACCACAAATGTTCAATTAAAAAAAATACTGGTCGTGAAACTCAAGGGACTTGACTCCAACAAACTAATTGGCAGTAAACCACCAGCTGCAAAGTAACTCTGAGTCTGACATTGAGTGCAGTGCAATTGAGTACAGTGGAGTGAAGTGAGTTGGTAAGCAGTCGGTTAGTTAGAGGACTGTTGCAATTCAGTCATTGTGAGCTGTTGCTTTAGGAGCTGGTAGCTGAGGCATGGGGATAGTTCAGAAATCCAGAGTAAGGGGAATGTCCACCATTGGAAGCCATTACCAGATAACGACTGGTGAAGACACAGCAGACTGAGAAGACGTAGTGCGTGCTGTACTGAACTGCAGAGTATGTGAATTAGTGATAGCGCTATAGTTACTTGTAGTTAGACCTGTAAGTGTTCAGTACATCCAATTACCAATCCAACCCCCATCTACAGTAACTTATACACATGACAATATACAATAAATGAAGTTTAACACAAACATCATCAGATTACTAAAAATGGCTAATCCTTCGAAAAATGGGTAGGCCTGTAGAATATAAATTATAGCTGTCTACAAGATCTGTAGCTTTTGTTGGATTTGGGGTTCTCATGGTGGTGACTATGAAAAATATGATCTGGGTCATAACACCATATAGTTTGGAGGGAACCCAACCTTTTGTTTATCAGTATTCTCTCATGCTTGATTTTAACTTGAGGGTCAAAACTCATAATGTCCAGGCAGACTGGCGACATTTGACAAGTCTGCTGGTATCCGTAAATTATTTACCATTGTGCATATTGCAAGTTATACAGCAATGGAGTATACATGTTCTGAAATGTGCTCTTTGTGATTTTACAAATCTAATTGGCTCTGATGTTTATTTATTTCAGATACAGTTATGTTTTTGCCAAACTGTTCATTCCGCAGATATCATCATGTAGTCAGAAATTATGTTCCCATGTATTTAATTAAATATATTGTTACCTGTCACAGTGACTAAGGTGTGGATTCAAATTGGTAATCGGATTTATTGGCTAATCTGCAGGTCGTAACTACAATTAATTATTACCCTATTGCTGCTTTACACAATGTACAATCACTCGACACTAATCTCTTCAGCCTATCTGCACTGGTCCTCACTGTTGTGACAACAATGCAGACACAGAAGTCACAGTTTCCTCTGTTGTTGCGTGACCTAGAAATGGACTGTTTACCAAGAATCTGTCTTTATGGGAACTTGTTAACCAGCACGTTCCTAGCAATGGGTGTACATGCAACAATCTATTTTATAAATATCAGTTCTTGTATCACAAACCAAGGGTTATAATTTGCTAGTACACACAGAAATTAAATTTTCCTGATAACTATGAATGTGGAGTTCCAGTACTACTTGATCAAAATCCATTGAATAATTGCAGCAATGAAACATGTGTTTAGATTCTTCTTGACTCTATATTTGTTTTATGCAACTGTGTAAGGAACACATAAGAAACAACAGGCCTACATATAAAATTATACCATATTAGATAGAATGAGCAATGATCTGCAGGAGGAGAACACCAGACCATCTGGGATAGACTCGAAAGGATTCTGACGATGGTGTATACTGTACTTCTTTTGGCTTATTTTGGACTTCACCCATCGTCCGGTTAGTCTTTTCACCAACATACCAGTCGACGAAGCCCTTCAGGTCATCAGAAGCAGGCTGAGTAATGATAACACGTTGGCAGAACGGTCTGTCCTGAAGGTGGAAGCCATCATGGAACTGCTGGATGTCTGCCTGAGGACCACCTACTTTCAAGGGGACGATGGATTCTACCAGCAGAAGGATGGCATGGCAATGGGTAGCTCCCTTTCTCGCGTTGTTAGCAACATCTACATGGAACATTTTGAACAACTGGCTATCGACTCAGCGCAGGACAAACCGTCGTTGTGGCTCCGATATGTGGATGACACATTTGTGATCTGGTCGCATGGTGCAGAGGGGATACAGAACTTCCTTACACACCTCAACAGTCTGAGACCGGCTATCCAGTTCACCATGGAAATAGAATCGGAGGGAACGATCCCCTTCTTGGATGTTTTGGTCATGAAGAAAGGGACGGCTCTGACCACGAAAGTTCACAGAAAACCCACCCACACTGGCAGATATCTTAATTTCAATTCCAATCACCCTCCGCATGTCAAAAGAGGAATTGTTCATAGCCTTCATGATAGAGCTACCACTATATGCCAAGACCGGCAAGACCGGGTGTTGGAGGTTAACAATTTGAAACGCGACCTTCAACTGAGTGGTTACTCTCAGGGCTTTATTGACTCGGTTATCAGGTCCAAGGGCGGTAGTCGTCAAAAGAAAAAAGAGGAAAAGCCTCTTGGCACGGTGTACATCCCGTATGTCAAGGGAATCTCTGAGAAGTTCAAGCGCATAGGGAACCAGTACAATATTAGAACCGTCTTCAAAACTAAACACACTTTACGATCTTCGCTCGTGAGAACGAAACCAA